TCGAGCAGTACAGGTGTAATACTCTGTGCACGTCATTTCCTCATCGACTGGTGTCCTCTCAACGTGCATGCAATTGCGCAATTCAAGGGGCCAATGGCCTGGCTCAATGGTTTCCACCTGGGCCCAAACCAGACATGGGGTGGCCAGAATAAACATCCCCTTGTTGAAGACCATTGAAGCAGGTGGATGTGTGTTGTGATTCTGTATTGCTGGAGGATAGAACACAGGAGGTTTGGTGAAACTAGAGATGGGCTCGGATAATCCGTCGCTTATATCCGGTATCCGCTGGCGGATGTACCTCCAGTGATGGAAGCTATCCGTTCCAGCTAGCGAATGACATGTACCTCGCGAAATGGAAGCCGACCTTCGCGGACGGTCTCCTACCAGCCGGCGAGGTACATGTACCTCGCCGGCTGGAAGGAATCCCTTCCAGCCGGCGAGGTACATGTACCTCGCCGGCCATTTAGAGGGCGGGTATCCGAGGATATCCGCTCGGATACCCGCTGAGGCGGGGGGATATCCGCCAGGGGGTGCGGACACTACAAACAATGCTGATTTCGCCCCAAGGAAAAATGGCAATTTGGATGGTGGAAAATAGATCAATTTTCTGGCACTTTTTTACAAGATGCCTCAGGAGTAAAAAATTAGGCTAAAATGAGCTATTTTAGCCAAAAAATAAAAATGTCTCAAATGAGCTAAAAATTCATTTTGGAATGTTTGATGAATTTCTATCTCTGGGCTAAAATAGCTCAGTTTAGCCTAATTTCTACTCCTGAGGCATTTTGGAAAAAAGTTCCAGAAAATTGATCCATTTTCCCCCACCCAAATTGCCATTTATTTTTGGGGCAAAATGGGTATTGCTTGTAGTGGGATGCGGGTGCGGATGCCGCTTTCCCCGGAAAAAGAGACCGGATATCCGCATCCGCGCGGATATCCGGATCCAAAGCGCCCATCTCTAGGTGAAACAGGTGTCCAGGCAAAGGGAAGGTCAAACCAACTGCACTAGGTTGCCAGCGCCTATGTCCTGAGAATAGGAGTATAAATTGTGGAGGAAAATGAGCCAAAAGAGAGGACCCTGGAACCTGCCAGGCCTATCAGTATGGGAAAAAATTGGTTTTCAGGGGACTTTGCACAAAAAAAACCATCCCAGATGCATAAAAAGGCCGTGATCAAATTCAACTTGCATGTTGAACTGGATTCTGAGATCCAAATGATCTCTGGTGTTGTGTTTTTCATTATTATTGTTCTTAATGCATATCATTTAGGGGTGAGGATGGGTCGGTTCGACCCAACCCAGCTGGAATCTGGGTCGGGGTGGGGCGGCACAAGCCCGGATTTCCCAATTTTTTGACCCAGTTGGGTTGGCCCACTAGGTGACCCATGGTGGGTTGGGTCAGGCTTTTCCAAAAATGGACTACCCATGGGTCGACCCATGAGGAGGCCAAGTTTCAACATGCATGCTTTTGTTGAAACTTGCCTGGCATGCTGAGTTATTAAGGGGGTTCACGTACTGCTGATTTCGAAATCAGCAGTCAAACTTTGCTGGAATGGTAGCTTTAAGGTTTATGGGAAACCAACATAGTTTAGTGCAAGGTCCCCCTGTGGATTCAAAATCCCACATTTAAAGTTCATCAGGTTTGTGCATCAGCAAGCAAACCTTAAGCTGCATCAGCAGAGGTTTGGCTGGAATGTGAACCCCCTTATTGACACACGGGAGTTACAACTCCCAAGTCCCAATCTGAGACATGAACAATGATAGTACAATCAACCAGAGTAGCTGGCCAATGATGGATCTAGTTGTCTTTCTTTTTTTATTTTTCTCTATTCTCCATTCACCTTTCTTTGTTTCTTAATCTTTCTCTCCAAATACATACACTCGCTTATAATGAGTTCAAAGAAGAAGGCATCATGCCCCCCCCAAAAAAAACCCCTCCGCCTAAAAAAATCCTCTGCCTCAAAAAATAATAATAATGGTAGCCCCATGGGTCAACCCATGGGTCGACCCACGCCGACCCATGACCCAAGTTGTGGGTCTTGGGTCAGGGCGGGGCGGAAGTTTTTGAAAAAGCAACCTGACCTGACCTGACCCATTTATTTTTGGGGCAGGTCGGGTTAGCATTTTTTTGCCCCGACCCAACCCATCCTCACCCCTAATATCATTCCACTCATTCCAATTTTTATTTTATCATTCAGAGATTAAATATCAGGGGTATCAAATAGAACCAAATCCACCATTATTGAATTGCCTGGTTTGAAAAAATCCACCCTTTTTTAATTTTTTTTTGGTTATTCATTCAACCCCTTTTGGGGACCATTGATGCAAAAATTATTTTTTAGGAAAAGTGACTTGTTTCTAATGGTGGATTTCCTATATTTGATACCCCCTAATATGTCTTGCAAAACAGAAGGTATCAAATATAACAAAATCCACCATTATTTAATTGACTGGTTTGAAAAAACCCACCATTTTTTAAACATATTGGTTCTTCATTTAACCCCTTTGGGGGGCCATTGATGCAAAAAAAGTTTTGGAAAAAGTGACTGGTTTCAAATTCAAATGGTGGATTTCCTATGTTTGGTACCCCCTAACATGATTTGTAATTTTACAGTGAACCCTTTTCAAAAATAGCTTATGAATTTCACCCGGAGTTATTTCTGTTTATCAGTAGTTTTGGAATGAGCATCCTCCCTTTTTTTCTCCTGGCCTTTTTGTTTTTCTTTTGTTTCTTTTTTGGTCTCTTTCTCTCAATAGGGGGTATCAAATATAGCAAATCCACCTTTGCAAACCCGTCAATTATTTTTTTGAAATCCACGATTATTAATTGACGGGTTTCCAAAATCCACCTGCATCAACCCCAACGGGTTTTGAAAAAAAAACACACGTCTTTTCACCCAAGCCAGTCAATTAAAATATCCCATTTGTTTCAACTCATATCACCGCCAAATTTCACTTGCACCA